TCTCTCTCTCTCTCTCTCTCTCTCTCTCTCTTTCTCTCTCTCTCTCTCTCTCTCTTTCTCGTCGCCGTGGACTTGGACTATTTGTCGGCGACTCCTGGATGACTTTATATGGTCCATCGCTATCTCTTTCTAACAAATATGTCTCGTTAGGAGAGGGTTGCAAATGTGCAAAATCAGCATAGCCTAATGTAATAGTAACATCATATGTCGCACATACGGTCAACCGCATCCACACATTGATGTATCAGCACAAAAATATTGCATTGTGATTGTTTCGAACGGCCTGAGGTCTAGAGCGGCTGGTTCGTCATGTGCCGTCGAACGTTCGTCGACTGCTATCGTCAGTTGCGCGAGTATATGTCGTGCTCTCCTATTCAGGAGCCTCGTCAGATGGTGGGAGGAAAGTGCGAGAGCGCTCTTGTGTATAAGAGCACTGCGTAGCTCATGTATGGAGCCCGCGTGGAGTTGCCCGGCGCCTCCGCGCTGGAAAGGAATCCCCCTTTCGGAGGATGATAATCACTCAGAATATGGAGACGCTGGTCCGTCTCCGTTGGTGAGCATCGGAACCAAGTCTGCCTAAGATTCAGCTCCGGTGGGCGAGGAAGCAACAGAGGCTGAATCTAGGAGGTTAGACTGGCGAACGTTGCTCTCCTGAATAGTCGCACACGCTGCGAATGCGATGTCTCGTAGTGAGAGCCTAAACGCGAACGTAACTCTGAATCGCGTACGCGGTCGAGTCGTAGTCTGCGTTAACGTACCCGTAACCGTAGATATGTGGTGAGTGTACCGCGTGCGTGACGAATGCTAATTCTCGTGGAGCCGAGAAGCGAGTATCCCTCGTGTGTAAAGTCGCGAATGCGACGATCTGTTAAGTTGTGAGTAGACTTATTCCAGCGAACTTGTTTCGCGTGAGCGCTGCGCCCCTGGCAGCGGAGTAATAGCAAGCGTGGCTCGCGAGAGAGCTGCGGCCCTGGCAGCAGAGTTCTTGATGACAAGGATGACTCGCGCGAAGTCGTGATCCCAACAGTAAGTTCTGTCGGCGATAATATCCAGTATGTGCAATACGGAGATGTCGCGAAGAGAGACGTCCACCGCAGTGGAGATGTCAAGGTAATCCGAAGTGGTCGCGCGAAGGCTTCTCTCAATCCTGGATCGTATTGAGAAGGTGGAGATCCGTGGAGTTATCATACACTTCGTAACACAGATGTCAACGTGTCCTCGGACACTTTAGAGACAGTAGCCCAACGTGCAAGCGCACGCTAAAGGGCTGCGGAGAGTTGTGTAGAATCACCGAAGACCTAAACACCAAATGCCAACGTGTCTACGACACTCTTAAGGCAGTGAAGATCGATGCAGATATGCAAACGTATACCTCTGGCGAGGCAAGTGCACAACGTGCTTGCGCACTCGAGAAGGCGGTATGAAGCTAGCTAGAGCTCAAAAGAATACCTGCTGGTGCAATCGCAGTCAAAGCTGGCAACAGGCAAAAGGCTCTGAGTCGTCGCCCGCAGCGTCTTATATAGACGCTGCACCGAAATTTAACTGCGAGCGACGGCCCCGGCTGACGCCGTCGCCGCGTCGCGGCGGCGGCGGGAGACCGGCGGCTGCGAGCCGAGCGGCGCCCGCCGCCCGACCGCCCGTCATACACGCTCCGCCCGAACATGCTAATGTCCGCACGGAACAGTGATGCTTAAGATTGCACTGAGAATTTCTCAATTTATTGTTCAATCAG